ATATGACATCACCTCCTTGCCCATGCTATTTTCCTAATCTCTGAAAAAATAGTCTATTCGAAATAGCAGAAAAATCGTTATTGAATTTGCAGTTAGCCAGCTCCCTGTCACCTTACAATTGGGTGGTAAAATTCCCACAGGCTTCACATGGGTGTCCCTGCTCTGTCTTTCGTATTAGTGCAGCATTGCACGGGTTGGCTGGACAGGAATAAATGGCCTGGCTCCTGTGTCCAACAACAGGGATCACTGAGCGAAATGCAGGGTGATGCTCGCCACTACCACATGGTTGCTGTAAGAACTGTTGTACCTGAAACACAATTTCCACAATGTAGTGGAAAAATGAAAGCTCAGCACTGTCAGTGAGTCAGGGCTGCCAAACCTGAGGCTACAGAAAACCGGATCATCTTCAATTTAGTGCTTGGTGCTGCAGGAACCGCCTGGGTTTGCTAGGAGAGGAGCAGTATGAGAACGTGTTTTCTGTCAACACGGTGCTGACAACCGTGATGGCCTTTTACTCCTCTGGCTAATGAATGCCGCCTCTCACAGAGGCAAAGTATCACCTCACCTTTTACCTCACCAGAAAACTGGGTAAAAAATAAAAGAGCACCTGCTTCAATTTAAAAGGTGAGTTTGTGGAAAGGTGGGGAAACAGAAAGCAGCATTCAGCTGCGGGTGGGGGGCTTCGCCCCTGGCCACTCAGCTGCACGCCCTTTTCCCATGGAGGAGTGAAGCTAAGGCAGAAACCGCTGAGGGGTCCATTTTCAGGTAGTGTAGTTAATTGCAAGAGAACGGTACTTGGGGACATATTGGTGTGGTAACAGTTCACAAAGAATTATGGCTTTTTTGTCTTCTGACACTAGGTTCTGTGTAGGAGAATCAAAAATGGGGTATAAAGAGAGCACCCACAAGTGTGTGGTGTATGGCAAAGGTGCACGGAATCTGCAGGCACTTGCTAGGAGCAGACCTCAGGGACAACCCCCACTTTGGCACCTCATTCCACATCAGAGAGTAGCCTGATCTGCTGAGGAGCGGCAGGGCTGGGCCGTTTGCTCTTGTCCTGATGCAGCACCTCGGTGACACTCACCGAGACAAGCCGCGGGGTGCTTGCCAAGCAACAGCAGCTCCCCTGGGAGATCCAGCATTTTGGAGAGAGCACTGCAAGAATCGAGTAAGATCCCTTCACAGTCTCCTGGCTCTCATGTAAAGTGAAGCTCCTGCATAAAGGCCAAGTGCTCAGGAAATGCTCCAAACACTCCTTGGACTGACTGTTCACCAAATAAGCGAAGAACTCCAAGGGTGCCAGCATTAGATCTCATCAGACTTGGCCTCCTTTCTCCATGCCTGGTTCTCCGTCTTGGACCTTGAAACAGGCCATGCCACTGTTTCCTGAAGAAGTACGACAGAATCAGCATGTCCTCTGCCAACACCTGGAAAGTAACGTTCCTGCCAGCTATATGGAGGAACTGTACTCTCTATCAAATGTGTGCATCAGGCTGGTTGTATTAATGACAGTGCTGTTGATATGCGTAACCGTAAGGTGATTTGCGTTTTGCAAATTTCTCCTTTAGTTTGGCCTCACAGCCACAGTTACCTTCTAGCTAACTCGCTGGACCAAGGACTGGGCCTTCCAAAGAAGTGTCTGGTGGCCAGGCCCCTTACGGAGTGGTCCTCTGATGAAAGCAGCAGGACTGAGGGGCCACAGGCCCTGCTCGCTGGACACTTTAAACACACAGCGGCTTCCTGAGCAGAAAGGACAAGCTGCCATGCTACAAAGCTGTGAGAAGGAAGTCCAAGCAGATATAGGGAAAAACCTCTGTTCCCCTTGAGGGTGGTTAAGCACTGGGACAGACCAGAGGGGCTGGGACATTGCCATCTTTGGAAACGGCCAGACCACAACTGGACAAGACCCTGAGCAAAGTGATCTTATGTTGAAGTTTGTCCTCCTCTAACGGTATGAATGGTCAGAAAAGCGTAGGTTCAGCACTCTGACTCTCCATGGTGCAAGGGTAGGTTTCGTGGACTATCAGCATAGTTCAGTCCCATAAAGAAACAATTTTTCAATTTCTTTTCACAAAAGCTGTGGGCTAGGCCAAGTGCAAGGCCCTGCACATGGGTTGGGGCAATCCCAAGCACAAACACAGGCTGGGTGGAGAATGGATCGAAAGGCAGCCCTGAGGAGAAGGACTTGGGGGTGCTGGTTGAGGAGAAGCTCAACATGACCCGGCCATGTGCTTTCACAGCCCAGAAAGCCAACCGTGTCCTGGGCTGCATCCAAAGCAGCGTGACCAGCAGGTCGAGGGAGCGGATTCTGCCCCTCTGCTCCGCTCCTGATCCAGTACCTAAAGGGGCCCACAAGAATACTGGGGAGGGACTTTTGACAAGGGCATGCAGTGACAGGAAAAGGGGCAATGGCTTTAAACTGGAAGAGGGAAGATTTAAGTTAGCTATAAGGAAGAAATTCTTCATGGTGAGGGTGGTGAGGCACTGGCACAGGTTGCCCAGAGAAGCTGTGGATGCCCCATCCCTGGAAGTGTTCAAGGCCAGGTGGGATGGGGCTGTGAGCAACCTTCCAACCCAAACCATTCTATGATCCATTCTATGATTCTAAGACTACCCTCATGGTGAAAACAATTGTCCTTCTATTTAGACTCTCCCTTGTTGCAGCTTGCATCTGTTGCCTCTTGATTTATCATTGTGCAGCTCTGCAGAGCTTGGCTCCACTTTTTCTGTACCTCACCATTAAGTAGCTGCAGACACCAATAAGCTCACCCCTTGGACGTCTCTGTTTTAAGGCTGAACAAAGCCAGCTCCCTCACCTCTCCTCACACATCATGTCCTCCAGCCCTCTGCCAGACTCACTCCAGTATGTCAGTCTCTTTCTTGCACTGGTGACCCCAAACCCACATGCAGGTCTCCAGATGTGGTCTCACAAGAGCTGAATAGAGGGGACTAATAAACTCCCTTGACCTTCAGCTATGCTTTGGTAAATGCAGCCCAGCATGCTGTTGGTTTTGCCTCAAGGGCCCACTGCTGATATACATGCAACTCCTACCCCCGGCCCTAGCTCCTTTTACTGTGCAGCTGTTCCCTATCCACCTACCTGGTCTGAATAGCTGCATGGGGTTAGTCGGCCCCAGATGCAGGACTCTGCATGTGTCTCAGCTGAACTTCAAGTACCTGGCAGCTCATTTCTCCAGCACCCTGAGGTCCACCTTAGAAGGCAGTCCTGCCCTCGCTGCAACAACTGCCCACCCCATGCCCCAGGAGGGCAGCTGACACACTTACATTATCACAAACCTCCCCAGACCCAGATCTGCTGCAGGCCACAAAGTTGCTGAAAGTGCACTCTGTCGTGTCCTCCAGGTTGTTAATAAAGACGTTAGATGGTATTGGTCCCAATACTGATTCCCTAAAGAATGCCACTAGAAACTGGCTGCCAGTTTGACTTTATCTGGATGGCTGGGCTCAAAGGATGGTCATCAGCAGTATGCTTTTCACCTGTTGTAGTTAGCAATCCAGTCTATCTCACCAATTTGACTACAGGTTGTTTAAAAAAAAAAAAAAAAAAACCCAACAGAAGAATCCTTTTATTTTCAAAGTTTGATCAATCCATGAAAGAAGATCAGCACATTTCTGCAAAGCCCAAATAACTGCACAGCTCATTCTGCAGCCAGATTTTTCTCACCACAAAGGAAGTGCCTGTTAAAGAGAAGGAGCCAGGAAGGGAGCCAGGACCAACTGTGGACAGCATGGTTCTGCTGGCTGGTACCTTTAGAAACACATTACACCCTTCACCCTTCTCCTTCCAGTGTTGCTCTCCTTAAAATTGCTGAACAGCCAGGTGAGGATCCATCTAACCACAAAGGACATTTTAACATCCTTGTTGGATCCCATGTCAAGGCTGCCGCGTATATTTTGATTTTCGTCCACAGGTCCTATGGAAGAAATGGAGCAAAACTCTCCCCCGGGGAATGCTGCGTGGCTGTATGAGCAGCCACCTTTCCATTACACTTCAGAGGAAATCAGGTTGTCTTCCAGTGAGTTCCAGTCACCAAATGATTTTATTGTTACAATATGACGAAGCGATTTTTATTCTGCGCACTTCACAGTGCTCAAAATGTTAGTTTTCACAGTATAGAATGGATGTGACAGCATTTGTCATGGAAGCACTCAGCAGAGTATGCTGCAACTTCATTTAGTTGTGCTCTTTTATGAAGTTCTGCAGTAAAATGTGCCAGCAAATTATGTTGTATTAGTTTCTTTCTGGTGATTAACTAATCATTCATGTAATAAATAGCAGCTAACTACAAGAAATTTATTTGTCACAGGGTTAGAAGAATGTCAAACTTTCCCCATTTCATTTAAAAAGGCAGAGGAAAAAATACTTCTAAAATGACTTTGCAACATGTGCTTTATTTTAAGTCCTTACTGAATCAAAACTACACAGTATATCCTTTTAACATACCCTATCCACTCAATGATTTATTTTTTCCCTCAATTTTTTAACATGGAATGAAACCTACATTGCAATTGTAAATTTTCATGCTACAATGTTCTCTAATGAGCCATTTGTGTCACTAATAACAGTAATTTAAAAAAAGGCCATTTATCAAGCTCATATGTATATCTATATTTGGGAACTTAAAAAAAACCCAAACCATCTTGGATGTAAAAATATGACTTGGAGTATGTAAACATTTTTGTATACCTGAAACACTGGAAGAAGAATATCAGCTAACAGCAAAACAACAATTGCCTTAAATCATCGAAATGGGAAAAAGCATGTCATGGGGAGCAGAGAGAAGCACACACTATTCAGTCTTTAAAGGGTTATATGAAATGAAGTAGCTCCTTAGGTCATTGAATTCACTTTCTTATCTAATGGAAAGCAGTAACTTTGAAGAGAATGGCCCAGCAGAACACTTCAATAATTCACCATAATTATTCTAGCCATTAGTTAACCTTGACAAAGTGCCAAGTTTCAGTTGCTTTTTTTTTTTTTTTCCTGAGAAAAGTCATTGATGTTTGGTGGAAATGTCTTCTGTGACTGTACAAATAAAATAAGGCATTTAAAGATTGTTACTTGTTTTGTTTTTGCTAACAGAGGCTTGTCCACAGTGTCCTTTGTACATCAAAACCTCTGCTTTTCTACAAATGGGTATGGCTAGAATGTCTTCAGTTCCCACTGGTCTTGGTCTGGTTCCCTGGGTCTTGGGTGTCCTGAAGGCTAGTCAGCGTCCCATTACTGTAGCTTGAAAGTCAGTGATGTACAACAGCATATTGCACAATCCAATCCGTCTGGCTCCAGAAAGGGTCACGAAGGTACACTGGAGTCATCTGTGAGTTCACTCCTTTCTTTTCTCTTTAAGTTGTAATGATAGTCTGGAAAATTAAATTAGCCAGACAAAGACACAAACTTTTTGTTGATTAAATTACAAAGCAGTCCCCAGATTGTAGAGGAGTGGCACATTAAAACCAACAAATCATCCAACCTTCTTCACTGTAGATCCTTCAGTGGAAAGGCAGCATGGATTCCTAAGGCCATAGCTTCCAGGATTTCTTCAGTGAAAAATCATTGCTACCTAACTATAAAAGGCTTAGCTCTTAAGAGAATATTGTGCTTTTTTTCCCCCCCCTTTAAAATACAGATGAAATCAACTTGATTCGCAGTGTGACACCAAAGAGATCAATTAGTTTTTTCCCTAGTCCACTTGATCATAGTCTCTGGTGAGCGATATAGGAATATTAGTTTGGCATACAGGTCTTCTTCTAGTTCCAGTTCTCCAGTCTCTCGCACTAAGAAAATGTCAGTACACAACTTCAATATTCGGTCTACGTTGGGTAGCTCCTCAAACATAATGGAGTGAGAGATCCCACTGAAAAATTCACGGACAAACTTCCCTATCACCAGGACAACCGAGGCATATAGTCCCATGATGCTGAAAAGAAAGAAAGGAAAGAGTTCAAATCATGCCTTGAAAAAGAGTCAGCCAAATGTGAGAGAGCTCACCTACATGGCTAAGTGTAGCCTGTCAGCTGAGTGAACATTAATTTCTAACTAGGATCTTGTTTCTGCTGTGCTGCAGGATGAAGGAAAATAAGGTCTCTTCAAACACCACAGAAATCTGGAAACATAAACAGCTGAGGCTGCTGACTTAAATGGTTTAATCCCAGTCACCGATGGTCTCACGTCCTGTCTGCTATGGCTTGGAAGTCACAATGGGAAATCTGACAACTGCTGGCTGCTAAAGGCAAATGATCTGTCAAGTTTCATATCTAATATTTTTTATTAAAGTACAGGTACTGGTAACAGACTAACCTCTACCTATCCTCCCCGATAATCCTCCCAAATCATGCCAGAAGGGCATATCTCCTGGGAAGGCAGAGTCTCCTGCCTTCCTCTGTCTGTGAAGATGTATTTCGTAACTGTTTCAGGGTCCTGGCTATGAGATTGGGAAGGTTGCCAAAACTGGACAGACTTTGGACAGAACTTGACCTGTAGCGAAACTAACATTTTGGAATGATTTTACTTGAATAGGAAACTGGTGTGAAGGGTGCTTCTGCCTTTTTTCCCACTGGAGAGCAGGTATCAAGGGTAATACCATTCCTTACAAATATGACGCCTTCTATAGATAACATTAATACACATGAATTTGAAAATTTCACAAAGGCCCTTTTCAAAATGTTATAATGTTCAAACACTACAACAACAAAAAAGAAACAAAACCCCCAAACCAGCAAATAAACTCACCTCTACTTCTATCTTATCTACATTATTTTAATTTTATGTAAAGATTCCTTCTTACCCATAACCAGCCAAGAATCCAAGGCTTGGTGGACTGACTTTATCACTGAATATGAAGAGTTCAAGACTCTCTTCAGACTTTTTGTATCTTTTTCCAAGCTGATTCAAAACCCACCACTCACGAACTCCCTCATCGGACACATTCTTGACCAGGGAAACTGTAATGTTTTCCCATCTGCAGTCTGTTGAAAAAAAGCAACGTTAACATATATACCAAGAATTGCAAAAGTCAAACTGTTTTGAGTCAGATACTTCAAACATCCACATGATAAAATGACTTAGCAATGTAGGAGTAAAGGGTCATTATAATTCTCCCAAACCCCATTTTACATTATTTCTGTACAAAAGTATAATATCTAGACTTCTGTGGTTTTCCTTCTGCAAATCTCACCTGAATGTGCATTAAATAAATAAAATGTTTCATATCACCTACATTTTCTTCTGTACACCTGTCAAGTCATTTCAATAATTTCAGGCCAAAGTAACAGCAACAGTCAGCATGCCTGCATTTCAGACCTAAAGAAACACACTTAACCTGGAGGGACAGTGGTCAGCTTCTATATGTTAAAGTGAAACTATCACTGTAAAACCATTTCTGTCTTGGTATAAAAGACGTTATTCTCTCATACCAAGAAAAGCATACTATCCTATTATGCATACTGATCACAAAGACAGTAGGTGAACTCTGGCCCTCCTGATTTCTGGGGAACGTACACTAGCAGTGTATACATTAAAGTCCTTTTGAAGAATCTCAAATTAAGAGTTCTTTAGGACAGGACCTGATTAACGACAGTGAAGCACTCATAAGTTGTTGCTACCCATAGAGCTAGGTTCAGCCTCAAGAGCTACTTTCCCCAGTTAATCTAATCACGCGCACTCACCCTTGAACAGTAAGGTACTATATAGTACAGTAATGCACTACACAGTACTACTACTACGCCTGAGTGCCAAATTTAACCTCTGTTGAGCAAATTGTTCTTAGATAAAGACTTGTTCCTACTCTTCCAACCCATCAGGTTTTTCGCATGTGTGTATGTGCACATCTGTGCATGTATTGTGTATGCCTGTGAGTACCTGTATGCACTCTGATTGCTTAATAGCACTCCGAAATTCAGTGATTATCTAAACTGGATTCTTTGTAGCCAATAAGGAAGGAATAGCTTGGAAAAAAACCCAGTCATTCAGTGTCATTATTTAAGCTGAGGAGCTACATTTGCAGACATGCAGCACTACTGACTGTTTGTGGTAAGATGTGGAGAAGTGGAACTTGTCATCACTTCCTCAGAAAACAAGAGAAAGCAGTTCCTGAAAGTATACTTGAAGGAAAGGAGCCAGACTTCATCCTCAGAGTCTTTACTGTTAAATACAAAGCTAAAACACATCCAGATGCATTTTTTGCCTTATACTGTATTACCTCATCTCTCCCCAAGCTTGCAGGCACCAGGTAGGAACCACTGTAAGTGCATTTCAGCATGAGGTGCTCCATAACAGCCCAGTGAATGTGTAAGTGCAAGTGCTGTGTTGCACTTCTTTCAACCATACTCTGTTTTCCATGGTCCGGACACATACCTGTCAACAGTTGCTTTATCGGTTTTGCGAGAGAATCACTAGGAGCCTTGATGTAGTATGGGTACACTGTCTCTAATGTTCTGGAAAAAATGAGAAAGCAAATATTTCATATTTTTATACCTCTAAAATAATTTAGAAATACCTAACAGGGCTATATACAGTTTCCAGTATTTCTTGGATTAAGCTATGATTTTATAATGTTCAGATGTCACATCTGAAAGTTAGCTGGATTTATTAACTATGTTCTGTCAGTACTTCAGCAGGGAGCTCCATCCATAATGTCGCCATTCACACGCCACGAATCCCACACAGCTGGGGCATGCGTGATTGCAAGGAATGTAGACTTTGTATTTTGTTCCCCTTTTTAATAAAGCTGCTTTTATAGTCAGCTATATAAGCCGCACGAAGAAAGGCAACACATCACCAGTAATAAACAGGCTCGAAAAATAGGTAGCTAGAAAAACATGCGATGAGAACAGTTATTACTTCAAAATTGCATGATGTTTCAATAACAACACCTGAAAACAGTGAGAATTTTTGCGAGAATCTTTCATTGGGAAATTTTTTAACCGTTTGTAAAAGTTCTTCCACTGGACTCAAAATTAAATCACCTTAAGAAGGAATAAATTACCAGCATCCAGAGAGAGAGAGAGATTTCACTAAAAGCAGAGATACTGTCCTAACTTTTTCCTCAAATGACTGAAGAATTCTAGGGCCAGGGAGCTCTCAGGGAAGTCCTGTGACACTTTGCTACATTGCATACACCAGGCTGAGGACGAACAGAGTTGGGCAATTCAAAATTCCTCCTGATCACTCCAGCAGGCCCAAAAGATGGGTAATAGTTCAGCAGCTAAGTTGTCCCAGGAGAAGCGGTGGCAGAAAGCTCCCTGCTGAAGTAGTCAAATGGTTACTAGCTGCCACAACCATTTTTCCTTTAGGACAAAGTAAAAAAGCTTAAATCAACATTATTGCAACACAGGCAAATGCAGGCGTATCTTTTATGTTACTGCTTGCCTCCTGCAAAGAGAGAATTATGAATGAATTACCTCTTCCCACAAGAGAAGAGAGCAAAATCTACCCTCCTTGGCACTACATCACTTTAGGAGATATTCCCGTATGCTCACACAGCAGAAAAGTAAGAGGCGTAAAATATTTTTTAAATGCAATGATCAGATGGGCAACAGCAGTCTGCTTGGATGTACAAGTGTGTGTGTGTGCAGAAAAATAGCTGTGCACAGAAAAGACAAATTTCATTTCCACCTACTAACATATATGACCCTCTCAGACTTTTCACTATCTCAGTTGGCCTCAGCTTTAACTTTTCAACTCTTGTGGCCACAAATCAGATCAGGTGGTCTTCAGGGATGACATGCTGGCTTAGCAGTATTTAGAGACTACTGCTGTAAAGTAATCCCCAGTGGGCAGGCGGAAGAGCCAGACTCCTTTCAAATCTAAGGAGGCACCACTGCTGTTAATGCTATAAGGCTATATCCATAAAACAACGTTTGATATTCATATGAAAAGCATTCTCCTTCTGCCTTGCGAATTTCCCTTACAGGAAAACATCTGATGTCAGAAACGACTGCAGATGTTACCCTTTGACGGCAGTGATTTAACACTTCCTTGCCAATCTAATACTATTCAAGAATAACAATGAGAAATACAGTCTGGATGGTTATTTAGAACAATAAAAATCATCAGTACAACATCCTCAGATCAAGTTGAACTGAAGTAACTCAAAGCAGAGTTTAACTGCAAACATACTGTAATGGGCTTGTGCTTATCCAATAAATCAAAGAAAAGTAACTAATAGCTTCACCATGCCTGGTTGTGTTCCAGTGTTCACGCTCTTCTCAGCCTACATTTATCACAGGAAATAAGCTTTTACCTTTAATGTTATTATTATGTGACTTCAATGCTGTTGGCCTCTGTGAAGACGGCTCCAAAGTTATTAGAGGGGGACAAATGGGCAGACAAATGATACAGTTGCACAAGCCTGACCTCCTTAGGAAATCCGGTTTAAAAAGGGAAGGTTTGCATACAAACAGGCAAAGAAAATAACTTACACCTTTTCCAGTTGCTCTCCAGACATCATTGTAGCTATATCTCTTCTGGTGTTCTCTGGTAGGACAAAGGTAAGTTTATCCGATGCTATTTCGGCTTTAGCACCAAGGGTGAGATTTCTGTTGTAAGTAAAAGGGAAGAGACATTGTCAACCTACAATGAGAGCATAACCTAAACACTTGTTTGCTGAACACTAGAGCTAGTTGTCTAACTGGTCTAACTGCCCCGACCCTGGCTATCCCCGTCTTTGCTAAAGCAAGCATCATGCTACCTGTACCTGAGATGGTGTGTTTTCCACAGAGGATACGTAGCAGCCTTAAAGGTGTATTTTTTTAACTGACTATGCCTTTGTATGCATTACATGACAATGATGACAGATCGATATAATTTTGCTCATTACGTCAGTCAGGACAGAACGGGAAGGGGAGCATGCCTGCTATGACTTGAGGCAACAGGACCGTCTACGTGACCACACATTCTGTGCCAGGGCAGCTACGGATGTTGCAGTCAGCTACAGCTTCCCAAAACCCCACCTCAGCTTGGCAGAAATGTGTGGTAGAAACATGTGGCTAACAGGCTGGCAGAACCCCCATGCCTTCCCCCAGCCTTCATGCCAGCTACAGAACACGGCAGGGGCAGGATCAGCGTTCGCCACAAGGTCCTGTGCCGTGCCCTGCAGTTGGGATGCAGCCACTGGGTGAGGCAGCTCCCAGGCTGGGGGGGCTGCAGAGAATTGTCCCCAGCAGCTGATGTGCAGAGGCAGAAAGCGTGTACGCTCCCTGAGTGGCACCGAAGGCTCATTTTACAGCTGCTTGCGATCTCCTGGCCTAGATGAAAGACAGCAGTTTCCCTTTATGAAGAAAAAGTGGAAGGTCACAGTGGTAAGTCTTTACCACTTCCAGTCATTCAGGGTCACAATGTAATCCACAGGATATAATCTGAGGGTGAAAAAGTTCTCTTTCAACTAGTGTATGAATGTTTGTAGTTATGCAAGCATATGGGCAAACTGAGTAGCTGTATTAAAGAATAATACAAGGTTCAGAAATGATGGAGTGATGTAATCCACTACCTAATAGTGTATGCTTCTAGAAAAATAAGGGGGGGGAGTGTCAAATAAAGTTGCATTAGGAGTGCAGATTCATTACAAGCCTGTTTTTGACTGTGGAAGGACTGACCCAGCATGTTCAGAGCTCCCACAGTGATTCAGCTGACCTGCTTCTTGTGCACAGTCTTTTGCTGATTGCTGATTTTGCTGATTGCTACAACAATCCAGTGTCTACCTCCAACAGAACAGGTAGATCCTGGGGCTGCAAAGGTACTTAATTTCCGTGGAGTGATGACTTAACTCCAATTTAATCCAGCAGTCTACGGGCATCCCAGCTGGCAGACAGTAGCCAACAAACCACTGGGGTTTCTGGGTGTGCTCCAGCCTGCATGGAACTACTTTGTATTCTAGGTGTCTCTTGCAAAAACTTAACTGTAAAGTAATAGTTCACTGAGATCAAAGGAACCACAAGGAAACAGGCAACGGTCGCAACAAAATGGATCCATGCCACTGTTATGCTATTTGCATACAAAGTCTCTGAGAATATGTGTATTTAAAAAATAATTTGTGTCAGTTCCAGACTCCCTTAATAAGAAGACCAAGTACTTCTGCTTGTATTTCCTCATAGTTTTTCTGCCTTAACTAGGTCTAGGTATTCAGTTCCCATAAATGTTAAGAAGGTTGTTGTTTGGGGCAGTTTATTTGAACATCTCCATCTAAAACTGGCTAAAATTTTCTTACTTTTCCTTCCTTCCCCTCAAGTCCCATTGAAAACTCCACCCTGCCTTTTTAAATAATGTACTTGGAAGTGGCTCCACTTCTCTCTTTTATTTTTTGAGAACTGCAGGCAAGAAATGTTTTCCTGGGTAACACAGGTCCCTTCTCTCTGTCTCTCTCCCTCCCACTTTCAGGGTTTTTTACTCTGCAGTACAATAGAATTTGCTAAAAAACTAAACCAAAAATTCAATATGGAACTGTTCTGCTGAATAAACACCTGGCAAATGATCCATCAGCCTCATAACAGTAACACCAATTACCTTTGAATGCTCCATGACAGAACTACAGTGAACTCAGCTGAAAAATCCAGTAGTCCCTGTATCATCTTCTCTCTACTGGGAGGGCTGATGGTCCATAAAGAGTTTGAATTTCCCTCCAGATCTGCTAGAGTTATATCTTCTTTTCCATAGCCCTCTAGAAACTGCAAAGCAGCCTGTAGGTGCAGTAGAGGAAGAGAAAATTTCAGCGTAGTGATATTCACAAGACACAGAGCCATATTTCCCAGCCAGGCAGAATTATAAATGTTTGATTAATTGTAAGTGCAGTGGTTTGCACTGATTGTTTTCCTCAGGTACCAACTGGGGATTTAGATGGGGAGAGGAATAAACAAAGTATAGCTGTGCTAAGAAGGCAAAACAAAAATGGCCCTACTGTTTGAAGAATGGTGGCCATGTAGGCCAAAGTGACTCTGAAAATTCATCAAGTAACCTCTGTAGAGTATACTTAAACTGAAGTTAAAATTTTACTGTCTTTTGTTAAGCATCTTTCTGCATAGAAAGATGTCCACAAAGGGCAAGGCAACTTGAAACTGGTATATTCCAAAGTGGAACAAGATTACAATATTATTGCTATCATACATGGGCTATTTGGTAAGACCCAATATAAAAAAATGTTAATTCTTAAATGGGCTAGAAGAAAGCATTTATTTTAAAGTTGTATCTGATCAAACCCCAGTTACTTTAGTAATGTAACAGCTTCTTCTAATCACTAGTCTTTTATCTGCAGAAACTTGTGATAACTTTGTGCATGTTGCACCATGAAATAGTGAGACTATGTTTAAACATTTATGTTTTCACATTTTAATTTCAAAACTTTTCTAGGCCAAACACACTTTCTTTTGACAGCACCACGTCTCCTCACTGGGAGGTGAAAGCTGTGGGTGCTATAGAAATGAGCATGGGGCTTAAAAATGCCAACATTGTTGTGTCCCCACAGCACGTTTGTTTTGGCAGTACACCAACATCATCACCTCTCCTGACGGTCTGCGTCACTTAGAAGCGAGGTTTTTATTCAAGCAACAAGACAATCAGAGTTTCTATCTTCTATGATTTTGTGCAAAGATGTCTCGATTAAAGGTAACTTGTCTCACCATAACCCAGCCCTGTCCTGACAAATGACCTGTCCAAACCTTTACTCGTGCAAATCCTCTTTACGGAAACATCTTCCAAATGATGGCAGGGCTGCTGACCACTTATAACTACACAATTAAAACTCACAAAAGGCCTCCATGGAAAACATGCACACATTTTTAAGTAATGAGGTACCCTACATTTTACTTACAGTGTTACCCCTATAGCTTCCCAGAAACGCATTGAAACCAGTCTGATTCAAATCCTTGAGCTGACTCTGTTGAGCACTCATTGTAAAAATAGGCTGGGAAACAAAAGAACACACACTTGTCACATTTACTTCACATCAGCTGCTACATCCTGTACAGCTGTACAGCATCCTGTGCATCACAGTCCAAGACAATTACAGCACTCAATTCAACAGGAGAAGGTTATGATCTTACTCCACTGAGAAGCAAGCTACCTCCAATTATCTTATATTTACTGTGTGGAACTCTAGGCAGTTATCTGAGTGTACCTGATGTTGGATAATTTATTCAGATTCCACGACCAGTAGGTTCTGGTTTTAACTTGCTAATGAAGATAATATTTTACATCAGTGGTAAACTAATGTGTTTTTAAACCGAAAAGGCATCATTTGATCTCTTGCATAAGGCAGGACAGTTCAATTCAATGAAGGAAATAAGAAATAGCACAAGGAAATACAGTGCAAAACCAGAGTTTGCTTTTAGTTTTTCTTGTTTTTTACCTGATAACCTCCTAGAGTTATTGTGATTGATACATCTAGAGGCTTGTTGGTGATGCCTGCAACAGATTTGATTAAAGACATGAAGAGCAGTGGGAACCAGACAATACAAATCAGCAAGACGATAATCATGCCACCCATTCCATACTTCACAACTTTCTTTTTCTTCTGGCCTCTTGGCTGGGGATATCTCTGCAAAAGCAAACAGCAACATGGTAACGTCTCTTCTATCAGAGGTACACTTGGTATGATTTGATGGGTGAATACATATCGAACTTATGGTGGTGGTAAATTGCTACCCATTGTCAGGTCAGTTATCTTGAGATTTTTTGCCAAACCTGCACAGACACTGAATTTCTGGTGATAACAGAGAAAAGTGCCAAATGAACCCATGTCAAGTGTGTGTCTGGTGTGAAAAATATTGTAAACCTCTGTGGTTTTGATTATTCACAACCATAAAGAAGGGAAAAATTGGGTAGGGCAATTAAAATTCTTTTGTCTGAATGAGTGCAAGCATGAACTCACAGGAATCAAACATAAAATAATAGCAGCAACAGTAATACAACAATTTGTTCAAAAAACTGATATTGGGAGTGACCCACTTTCTTGTATTTTTACTTCCCAAAAAATATATCAAAGGTCCTTAAGGCAGAATTCCTGTCATAGGGCCTGAAATGCTGCAAACTGTATTTCAGGGAAAAAAAAATAAATATATATATTTACCAGCAACTGACAGGCACAATCAGCAGTCTTGTCTGATACTGCACTACCGCGATATTCATTTTGCACCTCACATACAGTATTTCTGAGTTGTTCACAGGCTTGATCCAATCTAGTGAATCCCACACCAACTGCATTTAAATAATGTTTAAAGTTTTGTTGCTGTTCCTGAAGTCTTGACACTGCTGATGTAACATCCTTCCCTTTCTTAGCTGCTGAGATCAGAAGTGACTTTGCTTTTATCCTTCTCTTTTCAAAGCCCAGAAGTGACTTTGCTTTTATCCTTCTCTTTTCAAAGCAGATCACACAGCACATCTGTTCTGCCTTGTCCATAATTCCTGCCCTCTGTTATTGGCCTCATGATTGAATACCTTAATACCTTCACCAACCTGTAAAATGCCTTACCATCACTGCAATTTATTTTGGTGTATTCTCTTATAGGGTTTAACTCTGCACAGTGTTTTAGGATCTTGTCTTCTATGCATTGCACACTGCATGTGCAAAATAAAGATGCATTGTATTGCACTGCACCTCAAACACACGCCAGGAATCTGGCTTTCAGGAAATTGTTCTTGCTTTACAACATGAATCCATAAAGCGCTAGGAGAATATTAAATTTGTAATACAATGCTATATTAAAAGCAAATTAGTTACTTTTCAAAAGCAGTGTATCTAGTAATTTGTCTTGCAATACAGAATACTGTTTTCATTAAAATACCATATCAAGATCAGCAGGGGTATATTATTTGTCTGTATGAGATTAGTTCAGGCACCTTTAATGATGTTACAGACCAGCTCAGAGAGCCTCTAGCAGTCAAAGTACTTAGGCACACCACTCAATGCCAGTGAGAGGCAGAGAGTGTCAAAGTACTTTGAACAACACTCATGAAGTCATGGGTAGTTATTCTGCTACGTGGCATTAGCACATACATGCTAGCTTAGACGTGAAAATCTTCCCATGTCAGATCTATGCTACATATAATGCAGAGATATCCTGCTGTAGCATAAAAAAATGCAGTGAGATGGACAGTAGAACTGGATTATTATTTCTCTGACTCCTGAAGCCTCTGATGACACTCCATTCATGGCAAAAATGGAAGTTATACAGAAAAAGCCTATATACAAGACTTGTGTGCACTTCAGCTCTGAGTTAATCTAAGTGACATACTTGGAAAGTAATTGCAATTAAGAGACAGGATTATAATAAAAGTAGAAATACGTCAGTAACACTTCAAAACACAGTCGTTTCACTGCAGATGCACAGTTTCTGGCTGGTTTGGTCACTCTTAAAAAAATGCTTAATTTCTTTTTCAAATTGGCAAAATAAGCAAGCATATGGTTGTAATCTTTACAGAGGTTATAAGGAATCCAGAATTTGCAAGTTTAATTTGAACTGAAGCTTAAATGATTTGAAGAGACTGAAATTTCAGTCAGACAAATCCTGGGTTTATCTGGCCTGCAGTTCAGTTCTGGGTGTGCGAGGACTCTCCTGAGATAAAGGAGCCAGCCCTGTTCCCTCTGTGGTTACAGGAGCCAGGTGTCCCTGGGACCTACGCCGTGGAGGCACGAACTCTTCCTTCTACTGACCTGTCCTGGTTTGCTTAAAACAGGACTATTTCAAGAGTTTTTCTTTCAGTTAAGTTTCTTCTAACTAGTCCTGTTTTAGTCAAACTAGGACATGATCTTTCTCTTCAGCTACAGTTTCGCTGGCACTGTGGGTTACTCATTTAGTTGTTATGGACAAAGCGGGCCTGTGTGAATCCCTGGACTTTCAACCCCGGCCTTGAAACTCAGGCACACAATTAAGCTAGCAGGCGCATGCTTGCGGAGTTCATGTTAATGGTGGAAAAATCAGCTAGGCACAGAAGAGAAGCCATTTGAAATTTCACTTGCGGTGACTGCCAGCTAACATAAAGTACCCAATAGTCTGAATATTTCTGAACATAAACACCAGGTGTATCTTCTGACAAACTGTTTTTATGGTGGATTTCCCAATTATTTAGGGACTCGTGATTATTTCTCTTCATTTCTGCACGGGGGAGATGAAGCCTGGATCACTCATATGGGGCTTCCTTACTTTTTCTGACTCTCGCCAACACTTTAGAATGAATATATGAGCATAGATATCTTCAACACAGATCCAGCTGGAAAGACTGAGAGTGGTATCTGTCCAAACCCAGTCCATTACAGCTCTCAGCTCGGTCAAAAATGGAACCAGGCGGAACCTGAAGGGAGACCACAGCAAATAACTTGTCAGAAATGGGGGGATCACATTAAATGAGCACAGTAAGCATATATATGACAAGAGGGAGAATTAAGCCAATGTTAAAAGACAGTTTAATGGAAGATTTTGCAAACAGAGATACAATCATATCCTGAGACTGCACGGCTAGTGCTGATGTTTTGGGGTGGTATCTTTAACCATAGCTCATGTTCCTCTAGATCTCCTTGTCAGGCCATAAACACGCTTTTGCATCATTATTCCCAGTAACTGTGACTGAGCCACTGATGGAATGGTACAAGTGAGACTTTCTTGTATCCCCAAATTCCTCTGTCCTGGGAGCAGACTAGAAAAGCATCCTTTCCACAGGATGGTGGGAATTCGTTTTATACCTCCTTACACCAAGTGGTGTACAGCTTCTTTGCAGTCCTCAGTTGCACATGGAATTGGATGTTACAACTCAGGATTAAGCAGCAGCAGAAGGTGGGCTAACAGGAAACCAACATGCATATAGCAGCTGTTTCAAAGGGCATCATTCCCTTTACTAGTCCCACACTCTTCTGCTTGGCCAGGTCACAAAGAGCATTTCTTGTGAAGAAAGCTTTCTTCTGTAACTTTTCCTACTGGAATGCAACAAGCCCATACTGCAAATATTGGGAAAAGGCTGAAATTATTCCAGCTTTTCTGTGAAATATGTATATGCTTTGAACTGGCTTAATCACAACATCATGGTAACAGCGTAAATGGAGGGTGGGGTATGCCTCCTGAACACCACCTTTCCCTCTGAGGTGATGTTAAGCCTGTTACTTGCACTAACACTCCTAACTCCTGAAGAGTTTCAGATGTGCAGCACTTCTCAAAAGACACACAAAGGAAATTTTTTTTGATGCATACCTCTTATTTCTCATGTGTTTTGTCTTTCACTTTATTGCTCTCACCTGCTGAGGTAGAGCCTGTAGACCTGCTCCAAAGATCTCTTTGGGATTTCACGCCTCACTACTTTTTAGGACTGCAGAGCAAATAACATTATCTGTTTTCTAGCACCATGAGTAGCCCCTATCTCTGTTCACAGGAGTGATTTCTCAGAAGTGTTAAAAATGTCTCTTCCACAAGGGCCTGAATGGCTGACTGGTATGTCAGGCTTCTGGATTCATTGTGGGAGACAGTTTTTTCTGAAATTTGCATTCCTGAAATTGATTTTTTGTGGACTGTGCAAAATTTATTGTCTCAATTCCAACAGCCTGTGAAGAGAAGTCATGAATAACCCCAGCATTTCGTGATAACAGATCCTTATTTCATAAAAGAAAGGAGGAGGGCAGTAGGTCTAGACTTACCCTTGAAATAAGAACAGGTTGACATAGTTATAACTTTTTGTGAGGAAGTTGCCAAGAACACGAGTTGGATATCCGCAGCGTATCTGATATGCTGATAAGCCAAAATAAACACATTTCACAAAATACCAGAGCTGGGCAACTGTGTTCTGGCTAAATTTCCTGTAATGGAAAAGACAGATAAAGGAAAATGATGAGCTTTGTATCTGTGTATGACCAAATTAGCTTGAAATCTTTTGTGCTCCTGGCAGTTTCCCTTTCCTGAGATCCTGGGAAAAGCCTGTGGTTTCTGACCCCGCTGCAGGGTTAAAACAGGATTTGAAAGACGCTGGGTGAGAAAGTCTATAAACAGCATCTGTTGTCACCTCAGAGTCACAGGGGAGAGTCTGGGAACAGGCTTCCACAGAGGGGTCTGGGGCAGTGCTCTCTCCTCCTGGACGGCGGAGGTGCCTTGCTGCCCAGCACTGGCCAGTCTGCCCTTGGCCCCCACCATGGCATATCCCTCTGCGAGCCCTGGGTAGACACGGCTTCTCTTGGTTTTTCGAGGGCTGACATCTGGACTGAACCTAGGCAGCTTTCATGGCTATTTGTGTTCATGGGGGCACCTCCAAGGTCATGAACTCATACAGGAATTTAAGTTAGAGTGACCTCTGAAGGCTATTTTTTTCACCAACCCCTACTTGAATCAGGCCTAATTACACCAAATTGTTCAGGGACCCATCCAGTTGAGTTTTGAATACCTCTGAAGATGGAGCGCTCCCACAACCTGTCTGGAAAATCTGCTCCAGTGTTCAACTACCATCACGGTGAAAAGATTTTTCATCATATCTACCTGGAATTTCCCTTTTTTCCAACTTGCGGCCTCTTGTCATATCTGAAAAGATCTTAGCTTCTTCTCAATGCCCTCTTAACAGGTAGCTGAAGACAGCTCTTCACCTTCTCTTCTCCAGACTGAATGAACCCTGTTTCCTCAACCTCTCCTCACTGGGCACGTCCTCTATCCCCTGACCATCCTGGTGAACACGTGCCACTTCTGACTGCAGTTCAATATCATGGTGGAACGGCAGAAGATGCCTCATGATGGACAGGATTTGCGAGCCAGACATGATCCAGTATTTTAAATTACATCCTGCAAAACTATTTTGATTAAGAAATTTGCAGGGGCTTCTAAGAATCAGCCTGACTTAGAAGGAATATAGGAGGTTTCCAATACAGATTTGAGATTAACAACTTGATATGAATTTGATAAAAGCACAGAAAAAGCCCAAACAATTTTATTGCCTTTCAAGTGACCAAATCAAGCCAAAAGTTTCGTATCAGTTCTCAATGCGCATTAGATAAGAGATCCACTTGAAAAATGGATTTTTTTTTCAACCTGGGGGAACAATTACTGCTGCACTGAGGAAAAATAAAACATTTGTTTTTGAGAGGAAATAAGACCTTTCAGTCTTTCTATACACTATGCGCCTATTTTGTTTTTTCCCAGTAAAATAGCTTGACTGTTAACAAAGTGTAATGTGCCCAGGTGAAACACTTGATTTCCCTGTATTGTCAGAGGAGTGAGGTATATACTTCCAAGGCAATTTAAATCCCAAGTAAGAGGGGCATTAGCTAAGCACTAGAGAAGGAACCTTAACACCTCTGCAGTGCAGACTGAGGTGAAAACTGCCTTGAGTCATGCAATGAGAAGTGTTAGATTTGGGAGTGAACCTGACTGCAAACGATACAAGATTTCATGCCGCAGGTGACCACCTCCACATCACCTCCAGAGCCATGTGGCAGGAGCAGGGGAGGAGAACTGTTGCTCTTCAGAAGAGACATGGGTTTTAGACATTCCTGAGCCTAAGGAGATTTAAATCCACAGTTCACACATTCCAGGAAAGTGCTAAATTTTAAGTTACTCTGAGACAGATGTTTTCTACTCAGTCTTCTAAACCAGCGTGCAGCGGTCTTGGGAGTAGGGAGCCGAATCAGAGGCCAACATTGTCTCACTTGAGGCTCTAATCACTCAGTTACAGGCAAGTTCTCTTTCATCTGCTTGCATTTTGGCCTAAGTTGAGAATATTTCTGTACTTATATATACTTATATAATTAATTCTTCCTCAAACTTATGCTGGCCTCAGTTATTGCTGTGGAAAGGCGCTCTAACATTCTGCTTAGAAATGAGACCAAGAAGAAACCTGTTCATGATTCCAAAGCTCAGCTATAACCATCTCAAATTTAAACACAAACAACTTGGTAGAGCATCAGTATTCAACCCATATTGTCTGATTATAACAGTTATTACCTTTCTGTCACTCCAGGTAAGATAAAGAACATCCAGAAATGTATTCCAAAAACAAGGATGACCTGGAAGATGACCTTTCCCATGACAGTCTTTTTGAGGTACAGTGCTCGATCTACCACCATGGTACCAAACTGAATAAGCACCATCACCAAAAATGCCTCTGGCACCTGGTCCTCTGATAGTGAAGAGGTGATATCTGCTGCTGCAGAGTGTTTCTGAAAAGGAAAATATAACAGAGAGGTCGAGGAAGGATACTCACATGATACTTAGCATCTACAGCGTGTAAATCCTACTCAGGATTTATAGATAGATGTATACGTGACATACCCCAAAAGCCCAAAATCCAAACACAATGATGATGAAGTCCACTGTATCTGCGAGGAACATCAGCACATACACATCAGTCACTGCACTGTAGTCTGGATGAATAAGGTTGTAGAAAAACTGTCTGATGGGCACATACACCTGGAGAGTCCTAGAACAACATAGACCGCAATGTGAATTAACAACACTGTAACTTGCACTGGAGAAAAATATGGCTGGCTGTGATACGATGTTTCTAAAGATACCTAAGATCTACTCTGACAGGCTTCACAGGGCTTCACAGGCACCAGTCCCTTGTTCTGATTGCTTCTACATCACTGCATTAGCATTTTTCAGTAGAAATATACAGAGCAAACCGAATTCACACAGAATATTTAGCTTTTTTATCAGGCAGATGCTATTTGAACAGCTGCTGATTTGTTTGATGTTCAGTTGGTGGGACTTAAGAGTGAAATCATCCACACTCAATTAACTGTATACATACCCATTGATCCCCTTGAATTATCATAAGTAGTAACCTGCTCTCTTTAAAATGCTGTTTTACCGCTTTACTGTTTGGAACCTCCCCCCAAACCCACATAACTCCTCACATTGCTCACTTTTTAATTGTAAAGGCCTTGGCTTTGATCATTTGTTCCCGAAACTTCTCCATAAGTAGCTCTTTTCTAGATTTTTGCTTGATGCTTAACACACTGCTTCCTTTCTGACTGCTGTTTCGTGTACTGGTACTTCCTGAAAAAAAAA